GCCGCGCTCGAGTTTCATTTAAATTAACGAGCTGGACCGAGCTCGAGCCCAGTTCCTTATTGAGCTGAGCTCGAGCTCAATAAACGAGCTCGATAAATAAACGAGCCAAGCTCGAGCTCAACAAAACTCAGCTCGGCTCAAATCGTTTGCAGTTCTAATTCTCTCTCAATTTTCTTTATTCCTCAATTTCATCATTTCTAAAAGCTAAGGAAGGTTCAAATTCCACATTTTCTCTAATTATTGGTTCCATGGATACAAGGGCTGTCAAGTCTTTTCCTTCTTTTATCCTAACTTTCTCATTTTGCAGTACTCTATTCAATGTGACAAGTTACGACACACGATCCTAAATGTACTCATCCTATAAAGGTCATGAATAAGAAAACATATTATTCTCTTTACATAACTTATTACTTTTAGATAAATAAAAAATCATTCAAAATAAATTATGTGACAAAATTTTAAATATTTATAATTTATATAATAAGTAGAATAAATAATAATATATATTAATTAATGCATATAATATTACCATAAAAATAATGACTTTATTGATGGTGTATATATATATATATATATATTTTTCTTCTTACAAGCCCACTAGCCTAGTCTTACTTCTTTGTTACTACCATAATAGTTGTTTATTTTTAGAAAAATATTTGAGGGCCATAAAATCAGTGGCTCAAATGGTTCGAAACTGTCAAAACGACGTCGTTTTGGCTTGTTTTATGCCCAAAATGACGTCGTTTTGACAAATTCGAACCATTCGAGTCACTGAATTTTGAGTCACCAACTATTGTTGTTACTTTTATCAGGTGGACCACAATTTTTAGTTTTTAATTTTTTTTCAGGGATGGACCATTATGGAATACACAATATTCAGTGAGTACTCATCATCCAAGTAATATTAGGTAGCCGGTGGTGTTGCGGTGCGGTTGCTTGTTGATAGCCCAATTTACCACTTTGTTGACGTGGATAAAAAATCCGCATTAAGGGTGTGATACATGATACCATTAATACTAAGTTATCTCTCATTAATAATAATATAATGATGTTATATTTATCAATTAATATATTTACTAGTATACTCATACTAATTATGATATTATTATTGATCTCATTTATTATATAAATTTATAAAAATCTCTTAAATTATATCACATTATTAATTGATACATTAATTAATACGTATAATATTATTTATAATAATAAGATAAGACTATAGTGACTTCCATTGCATTGCTAGTACCAACGATTACATTAAATTAGGTACCAACGGTTGCATTACTAGTACAAATTAAGAATAATGTTATATCAATTAGCCCATGTTTGTTTGGGCGGACTGGATTAGAATTCTCATGACTAATAGTCCTATGACTACCAATCCGTTGGATTATGTATCCTATCTTAACTAATAGTCAAGTTTAAAATAATTAGTTCATACTTCAATTGTTTAACTAAATATCGGATTAATAATTTTATTAGACTATTAGTCCAATTCCAAATTCATGTCCACCTAAACAAGGAGTTTTCTTAAGTGTGCAAGTGCACACCATGTGCCACTTACACAAAAAGTGTAAGTGTAAGGTGTAAGTATAAGTATAAGGTGTAAGTGTAAGGTGTAAGGGTAAGGTGTAAGGTGTAAGTGGGTTGCACATGGTGTGCAACCTCAAAAAAGGTGTAAGTGTAAGGTTTAATTTTTTACAAAAGGTGTAAGTGTAAGGTGTAAGTGTAAGGTATAAGGTGTAAGGTGTAAGTTGCACACCATAACCAAACCCAAAAAAAAAAACAAATAGAGAGAAAAACCATCATACTTTATTATATAGGACAAAGATGGGATCATGAGATCATAAAAAGATGGGTGAGTAAAGAAAAAAGTAAGAGAGAGAAGCGGGAAAATAGAAAATGTACATGTAGGATATTTTTTGAAAAATATATCTCAGCCATTGTTTTATAATTTCAATAGATATGAGCCGTCTAAATGTCCTAGTCGGACAAATGTGTGTAAGACAAATTTAAAAATCATCCTACTTTTATATACACTAGCGTATGCTTGTGCCTGGAGGCACAGTGTAAATAATGTTAGGATTAGAATATAATTGTAATCCCAACACAATTTTAAATTTATTTTTTAATTTGATAAAATCACAAATTTATTATAAAATTTTGGAGTTCTCACAAAACTCCTTACGTGTGAAAACCCATCTTTCTATATAAGATTTTTTGAACTAATAATTTTTATTTAATAAAATTAAAAATATTATTATTTTTTAAACTAATAATATTATTAATTTTATATAATAATATTCTAAATAATTATTTTACTAACTGATGAAAAAAAATAGAATATGAGATTAAATATTTTTATCATTTTACTTATTAGTTTGATTAAACAATCCAATAAAATCGAGAATATTATTATTATTTTTTTTCAGTTTTAAAATTAAGAACATTATTAGTTTTTTCATTTTTATTTTTATTTTTTCAAATTTTGCATATCAAATTACCAATGTTCTATCATCATATTTCTTTATAGACACAAAATTTTTAGTTTTGCATAAAAAAATAATTTAATTTTTTCAATGTAATTTTTTTTACACAAATTTTTTAAATTTTTTTTATTTAAAAGTTGATATTTTAAAGTTTTGAAAATCAAAATAATTATCAAATTATCACGTTCCTTTATAATTAATTATAAATGATAAATAATTATTATTTGAAGAACAATTTTGATTATTAAAAATTTAATAGGACTTGAGTATTTAAAAAATCTTAATTAAAATTTAATGAAATATAAATTTATAAATGTCAAAAAAATAAAAAATAAAACTTTAACCCGCGCAGATAAAATTCCGCAGTCAGACCGTTGATCGCGGAAAACCACACTATCACCACCATCAATCAATGCCCACCGTCCGTCTCCTAACTGTCAGCGATCCTCTGGTTAATAATCCACCACCATTAATCAAGGTTAAACTCACTTAACCGCAGTTAAGAATGCCACAAATATATAGAAAGAAAATGAGTGAGAGTACTAATTAGTGCTATTACTAATGATGTGATAGCGGGTCCCATCATGAATGATTTGATGTTTTAACCTTGGTGTAGTATTTTTTTTCTTTTTTTATTGAGTGTCATGTCATTAGTGGTCTTTTTAGAGTTCCAAAGTTAGTGGTCTCTATCATTGTTGTATATAGAATGTGAGATTTGTTTAAACACACCGGCTTCCCTCCTGTCACAAATCGAAGTGGAGGGTGTTGTTGGATTCATGGAGACTTATCACAGGTTTCGTTTCGATAATCTGAATCGTTCAATGTGTAGAAATCGTCGAGTATTATATGTTTGTAAAAAAATCACGTTGATCGAATATCGATAATTAGGTGATCAAATCAGTTTTGTATTAAAAAAAAAGACGGTGAAAAAATAAACGGTTGATAGAAAACTGATCCGATGAGATAACAATTGATATCCGATCAACGTGATTGTTTACAAATATATAGGGTATGTTTGGTTTGTGTTTGAGAGATGTGTTTTAGAGATAAAAAGTACAAAAACATGTTTGGTTTGGTTTTTTTTAAAAGATGTTTTGGAAAATTATTTTGAGATAGAGTTTTGGAAAAAGTGATTGATTTGATGTGTGTGAGAGAGAGATTTGTTTGGAAAACTTGTTTGGTTTATAAATTTTGGAAAATTTTTTTGAGAAAATTTGTTTGGTTTGATTATTTTTGAAAACTTATTTGTAGAGAAAATTTCCCAAAATTTTTTCAGAAAATCAAACCAAACGAGCCCATAGTACTCGACGATTTTTACACATTAAACAGTTCGAATTATCGAAACGAGACTCGTGGTGGGTCTCTATGGACCCAACAACACCCTCCAATTGAAGGAAGCCAGACCCTTGTTTAAAACATAGTTTGTAATTCTATAAATTAGAAATATTTTTTTTGTCAAATTTTTTATTTAATAGAATTAAAAAAATAAATAAAATTATTAATTACTCTTTTATATAAAAATAAATTACTTGAATTATTATTTGAAATATTTTTTTTATATTATTAAAAAATATTAATTAATTTAATAATTTATTAATAAATAAATTATTTATTATGTAATTAGAAAAATTAAAAAGATGAGACATAATTTTTAAAATTATATAAGATAATTCATATTTTAAATAAATTATTTTTTGGTCTTGGGATCCGAGAGTCCGTTGTGATTGAGCAAGGATCCTCTAAAGTGATTTTTTTCTAAAGTTTCCTAGAGTGCTACATTGTGTGGTCAAGTCACATCAATTTTTCTGATGTGACTTACCAGTAAATCTCAACCACATAATGTAGCACTTTAGAAAATTTTAGGAAAATTTCACTCTAGAGGATCCTTGGTGGTTGTGATTAGTAAAAATGACAGAATTAATAGTTTTATTTTGAGTGAGTGACAAGCATAACAGATAAAGAGTACGTTGGTTTGTGATTGGGCAGAACATAGCGAACGTTGTGGTATGAACCAACAAATAATTTTTAGGTATAGCTTCTGTCCAGTTTTTAATCGGATTGGATCATGTTATTGGATTCGTGAGGGCTTACCTCGGATTCTATTTTGATAATCTGAATCGTTCAATGTGTAGAACTCGTCGAGTACTATAAATTTATAAGAAATCACATTGATCGGATATCAGTAATTATGTGATCCAATTAGTTTTGTATAAAAAAAGAAGGTGAATAAATTAACGGTTGACGAAAATCTATTTTGATTACATAGCTATCGATATCCGATCAACGTGATTTTTTTATAGGCATATAGTACTTGACGAGTTCTACATATTGAATGGTTCGGATTATCAAAACGGAATCTATGATGAATCTCTACAGACCCAATAATATAATTTAATCCGATTAAAGACTGGACAAAAGTCATGCCTATTTATATTTGTAATTTATCTATATAAATAGATTATCTGTTTCTCCATATATTAATGTTTTTTTTATTAAAACCTAACAAACATGCTCTGCAAAGCGCTCCTTCTTTGGCTTGTTGTTGGGTTAATATCTTGCTTATGTATATATATATAGGTTTCTCTCTCATATCTGCCTATCTAGAGAGAGAAATAGAGGGAGAATAAGCGAGGGGCCAGCTTGTGATTTTCTCTTATTGTTTCACAGAGTAATGATTGCTGTGCAGTTCCAACCGGAGTTTCCTATGTTGAGATTGAGAGCAATTTGCGCATGAATAGCTTGATCTTTGTCGTTGGAAAAATTCGTGTAACGGTGATGGTGATGATGATGATGAGTGCGTTGTATATCGTCAAGAAATGATATCAAATTCCTTCGGATTTTTTTTTATTTTTATTATCGAACTTCATTGGCGGGAGTTTCGAGGTAAAGCTTTTTGATTACCGAATTGAGTAAATGTGTAGGTCACATATGCCAAATTGTATAGGCTGTTGGTGTGTATAGAAATTAGTACAAAAATCTTTAAAATCAGAATTTAATGCAAAGCATTAGCCATTAAAGCTGATTCGATTGAAAGCATTGTTACAGAGAGAGCTCTTCTGTTGAAGTTTTTTTTGAAGAGAAATGGCTTGTAATCAACCTGAAATGCAAGAGCCGAGCATCGACACCGATAAGCTGAGTTACGAGATATTCTCAATCCTCGAAAGCAAGTTCCTCTTCGGCTACGACGACCAGAAGCTATGGATTCCCAAGCAGATCCCTCCGGCGATCGAACCGAAGTCTGAACTACCGACTCCAATTGAAGCCGATAATGGAGTCCAAGCAATCAAAAACCAGAGAGGAAAAATTTGTATACTCAGCATCGACGGCGGTCGAATGCGAAACATTCTATCTGGAAAAGCCCTAGCCTACCTCGAAAATGCGATAAGAACGAAATCGGGAAATCCAGAAGCTAGAATCGCCGATTACTTCGATATCGCCGCCGGCGCCGGAGTCGGAGGGATTTTCACCGCGATGCTGTTTGGAACGAAGGATCACAGCCGTCCGATTTTCCAAGCCAACGACACGTGGAAGTTCCTGGCTACGCAGGGTAACAGTTTCTACCGATCATCGGCCGGTTCAGGTTCCGGAGGCGGAAAAATGATCAAGAAGATCTTCCGCGGTGGTTCTGGTTCAGCAACGGCCGGTTTAGAGAAAGCGATGAAAGAGTTGTTTACCGGTTTAACATTGAAAGACACGTTGAAACCGGTTTTGATACCATGTTACGATCTCTCAAGCTCGGCCTCTTTTGTGTTCTCTCGAGCCGATGCTTTGGAATCAGACAGTTTCGATTTCCGGCTCTGGGAGGTTTGCCGGGCCACGTCGGCCGAACCGGCGGTTTTCGAACCGGTTTCGATGCAATCGGTCGACGGCCAGACTCGGTGCGTGGCGGTCGACGGCGGTTTGGCGATGAGCAACCCTACTGCGGCGGCGATTACGCACGTGCTTCACAACAAGCAGGAGTTTCCGTTCGTGCGAGGAGTCGAGGACCTTTTGGTACTTTCACTTGGCACCGGTCAGCTCCTTGAGGGAAGCTATGACTACGACCAAGTCAAGCGGTGGAAGGCTAAGGACTGGGCTCGACCCATGGTTCGAATCTCCGGCGACGGCTCAGCCGACTTGGTGGACCATGCTGTCGCCATGGCCTTCGGTCAAAGCTGTAGCAGTAACTACGTGCGCATTCAGGTACGTCCTTTCTCTAAAATAAGCCGTATGCGTTATACACTGAGGTAATGCTATCTCTATGCCCAGTGCAATTTAGTGCGATTTGAAATTAAAATTATAAATCAAATGACAAATTTACAAATAATTAAATCGTAGTTGGGATGGTTTCAATTCGGTAATTAATTTAAGGATAATCTTAAACAATTATCAAGTTTTTACAGAATTTATAACATTAATTTAGATAATATTTTTCATATATATATATAACATTAATTTATAATAAATTTCATATTTTAAATATTTTTTATATTGATTTTTATTTTTATATGTATTAACTATAGTGAAAGTAGATTATAATTTTTAAATCACGAATTAAATTAATTCGTGGTTAGCGAACGAATCTGTGCGCGATTTTAACCGATTAAGTGATATTACATATCTATTGATATTTACATATATTTGTGTTTGTGCCTGTATATCTATTGGTACTTTTGAGTACGTGAGAGACGTTGTTTTGGCCAGGCTGGTGCTTGTGAAGAGGGGTTTGTCTTTTGCTTTTGGGGGATGGGGATGGTGATGTTTGTGTTCTAAGTGCGCTGGTGTTTTTGGGTTCATGCAATTAACTGAGGGTCTTTGGACACTGTACGTTTGGCTGGCCTACTTTAACGAGGCCATTGGTTTAAGCAATTTTTGTGCTTATGCGTGTGTTGGCCAGGCATATGCACTAGCTGATGATGCCCGGAAAAGCAATGGGGCTCATCTTGATGCTTTGGATGCTCTGTTTTTGTTACTATGTCAACATGTGAACTTCGGTTGGCTCCATTATCTGTATTTTCATCCATGGCATGTTTGTCAAACTTACCTACCTACTCACCTCGAAGTGTTTATCCTTTCTGGTAAAATTTTCAGTTATCATTGAGCTACCTGATACTATCGGAAAAGTTTTCGGTTTCACTTTCCACCGTCATTTTTTGGTGGGTAATGATAATGCAAAAGAACACATTTTTTTTAGAGATGTGGAAGGTAAAGAAAGAGAGTTGTGGAAGCATCAAAAATCAACTGGGGCATTAGGCTAACCCTTTTTTAATTTGTGAATTATTGCTTTCTTAAGAGAAAGAAAAAGAACAAGGAAATAGGTAAATTACACTCACATCCCGCGAGATTTGAAGAAAATCATAATTACAATGAATCCTTTTTAGTAAGACTAAAGTACCAAAATTAAATATAAATATATATTTTTGTAGAAAAGATATAACCATATCCTTTTGTATTTGTACGACTAACAAATTATTAATAAAAAAATAAGCTTAATTGCTATGTGAATTCAACTTCAAAGGAGATCATTGCAATTATTTCAACATTGTGGGGCTAACTATATTTTTTTCCCAAACATTAAGGGAGGTGAGTGAAATTTATCCAAAAAAATACTATGGCCAACTTATTTTGATTGTTCTGTGGACCATCTTCATTCACAAACTTGTATTAGCAAAGTAATGTGATGGATGACCATAAGAACAAAATCCATTTAAGTCAAATAATCTCCTTTTTCTTCATATATATAAATATATGCTATTTGATGGCCAAATCAGGCCAATTTATTTATTTTATATATATTTTAACCAAAAAAAAAAAAATTAGTGGTAGCATTTTTGAACAGTAATATTACATACCTAAAAAAATTAATTAAAAAAACACATCTACCAGCCACATTATTTTGGGCACTCATTCCGCCAGCTGTCTGCCAAACATTTCACATTCAAGGTGTTTTTAGGGGTAAAATTTCATGTGGATAGCATTTTTCATTTCTGAAACAAGTAGGTGGTCATTGTTGAAAAACTGGGATTTACATTGTCTACCATAAAAAATAAAACACAAAAAGATTTACTGAAAGTGGGATACTCTACACTGGTTTTAAAATGACAGTCCGGTGTTTATATGTACCAGCTAATGGGGGTGGTGTGGTTTCCATTATTAGCTTCTTGTTGTCGTCATGAGCACTGATTATGTGTGCTGGCAATGGACCAGTGCATTGGTCTCTGGCTCTGGTTTTACTATTCTTGTAGAGTGTACTGCCTTACGTTAGGTAACCCAACTTATGTACAAAGATGGGGCTTTTCTACCTTTTGTTGATTTGGGCCTCTTTTTCCCATTGAAAGAAATAAATGAGAAGGTTTACTTTCCCTCTCACATTTAGAGTTTTTATTGGTGTTCTCATCTTTATTATGTGGTCTTCTCATCTTTAGAATTTTTTAGCAGTCATACTTTGGAGTGCATTCTTTTCAATGGAGTATATATAAGAACTTGAGAAGGAAGCACTGTCATGAAAACAAATTTACACCAAACACTACTAAATGTTTCATTCCATACATTTGGTCCCTGCCAATATATTGAAATTGAAAAAATATTTCTGTCTAGAAGCCTCACCTCTAGATGGAAGAGTAAGTATTGGATGAAGAACAATATTGGTGGAGGATGACAACATCTATTGAGAAAAAAGAGGATAGTGAAAATAATTCTTCGTTGCTATCAAGATTTAAGGTAGTAAGTTTTCTGAGTTGTTCATTTAAAATACGAATATTTCTAGATACTAAGAAAATTCACTCAGATTTTTAGCATGAAAGTGAATTGTAAGGTTGTAGATTTAAAGTTAGCGTGTTGTGGGAAAAATATTTCTGTCTAGAAGCCTCACCTCTAGATGGAAGAGTAAGTATTGGATGAAGAACAATATTGGTGGAGGATGACAACATCTATTGAGAAAAAAGAGGATAGTGAAAATAATTCTTCGTTGCTATCAAGATTTAAGGTAGTAAGTTTTCTGAGTTGTTCATTTAAAATACGAATATTTCTATATACTAAGAAAATTCACTCGGATTTTTTGCATGAAAGTGAATTGTAAGGTTGTAGATTTAAAGTTAGCGTGTTGTGGGCCATAGGGAAAATGAATTTTGTCAACATATTTGGATTTTGGGTATGCAGCACAATTGTTTAAAATGCATTAGTAGCATCCAAGCATATATATACATATTATTCTGTTTTCTCACAGACCAAACGAATTCTAGTGATACCAAATTAAGATTGCAATGCAAGAAAAATTGACAACTCTCCTAGTCTTAAATTTTTGATAGTGCACTGTGGTGTATTGATATGTTCTTTTCACGGTTACATTGAGTTGGTCTTGTAGGCCTTAAAAATTAGTATTGCATATTAATCTTGTAAGAGTAGTGTTTGAAGTGTTTAATTGGATGAATAGTCCTCTAAAGCACTTTCCTCTTTTTGATCTCCCATTTTGCATGACAGGCAAATGGATCCAGCTTGGGACGATGTGGGCCCAATATTGACTCGGACCCTAGTCCTAGCAATGTAAAGATGCTTGTGGGAATTGCCGATGAAATGCTGAAACAGAAAAATGTTGAATCGGTGCTCTTTGGCGGAAAGAAGATCACAGAACAAAGCAATTTCGAGAAACTTGACTGGTTTGCTGGAGAGCTTGTGCTGGAGCATCAGAGGAGGAGCTGCAGAATCGCCCCCACTGTTGCATTCAAGCAAGCTGCCCCAAGATCAACATAGACAACTCTCAACCATAAAAAAAGAAAAAAAAAAAGAAAAAAAAGAAAAAAAAAATTGGTACGCATTCTTTTTTATCTAATTTTTATATAGATGCAATCATTTCATAATTGTCACATTACTAATCCTGCTGATTTGAATTCGGACCAGCTCAACTTTCATAATTGTAAAAAGTCAATGAACCAATTTATTTTTTTAAATTCTTTTTTTCTTGTGATCTCTTTAGAAAGTCTTTAGACATAGATTTTGTGAATCATGTTCATGAGAAGATGTTGGTATTATCTGCTTCTGTAGGTGGGCTCGTGTTGTCATTTTCCTTTTGTTTCATAGATCAAACCTTATAACAACCAGTTGCTTGTTGTAATTGTTAGGAAGAAGCCCACCTTGTTGTCGGTCTACCGACACTGATTCTTGGAAAAGAATGAGGGCAATTTAGTCATTTGATGAGAGAACACATTGTGGTACCCAAGGAGACCTGTCCTTTAACCCTTGTAAGGAGGGAAGTGTTCTGTGATCACATTATTGTGTTTGTCTGCTTGAGCAAGCTGATTGCTCTTTCAGCTTAAACTGACAACTGTTTGAATGAAGAATTACTCCCTGAACAGGTGGTGGCTGTAGGAGTTGACACGTCAGTGCAAGCCTCTTGACCTTTCCTAATTTAACATCCTAAATTGTCCTCAGCAAAAAAATTATTGAATCCTAGGGTAGTGAATAAGATGAGGATTAATTTAATGAGCCTAGTTTTGCTCTGTACTTAATGTTTTAAAATGTGTCAATTTATATTAATTCTTTGTTGTTTCCCATTATGCCTCCTATTCCACTATTTGGTACAATTTATGGGGGTGATTATGATTTTTCAACTTTTTAAAAGCTTGTACCAAAGTGTTTTGTGTAGTTACATTTTATGAGGGGGGAAAAATGACTGAAATTAGCTAAAGAAGACTAATTTCTGAGAAACTTGTGTGCTTAAATTATTGCTTTTAGCTTGTAATATGTATGAACCAAACTAGGAAATTATGGACCAAATTCTTCAAAAAAAGAGAGGCACTGTGTAGAGAACTGTGGTTGGATAAAGAAATGCAAACCTAATTGTCCAATCTCAATAACAATTAGGTCCTATTCCCAACCAAAAGGAATGGGTCAAAGAAAGATTATGTTAAAAAGAAGAGAAAGTAAAAAAAATCATGCTCTCAAACATACTTTTTTACCATTGTTGCTTTTTAGTAAATTCCCTCTAGTTAATAGTATGGCCTATTGAAAGTTTTGGGTTAATAGGCAGGCATGGATTCTCTCTCTCTCTCTCTCTCTCTCTCTCTCTCTCTTTAAAAAAAAATTCTTGGTAATATTTTATTTATTTATTTATTTTGTGTGTAAATGCAGGAAAGGAAAAAACAGAAAATAAGGAAGAGGGAAAGTAAGATAGCAACTTTTACTTTTGAAAGAGAAGGTAGGAAGAGAAGAGGGAGGTTGGAGGAGAATTGAAAGAAAAAAGGACATTCAATTGTAAAAAAAAGGGTTTTTGATGATCTAAATAGGATTTTTTTTGCCTGCCAGAGGACAGGCATTGTGGTGTCCACACCACTTTCTACCATGACAGAGACCCAAGAAAAGCCCATTGAATGTGTGTACACTTTCAAGGTCAAACATGAATCACATTCTAATTAATCCCTTTGATTCCAAATGAAATCTTACTAGTGGGAAAACATTATTCTTTCCTCCTCATTTCCTCCTTTCCCTTCCATTTTTCTCATCCTAGTTCTCTAGAAACTTGTTTGTTGGGTGGTGGATATTTTGTGAAGAACACCAAATTGTAGCCAAAATTCCTTGTTTGACCTTCTGCAATTTTTTTTTTCTTTCTTTCATTATAGATTGTAGTGGTGGAGATTAGAGAAGGAATTTGAACAACCGATCATATCTCCTTATTAGTGCTTAGAATGGGATTGATGGATGGTAGTACAAATATGGGGACTTGGGTGTGGGACCCTTTGTATGTAAGAGAGATTTTTTATCTTTCTTTATTGGACCTGTATTTTTTTTTTTGTTTGGGTGAATATCTTGAACTTGTATTTTCATTTTCTTATATGATTGTTTGGATAGAAAAAATTTGGAACCTTTTGTTGTTCATTTGTATACTTTTTTGCATTGTATATGAGTGGTGGTAGGTGGCAGTTAATGTCGTTTTCTTCTTGTGCTTTTTTTTGACTTGTTTTTGTTGTGCTTTGTTGAATGGGAGGATGGTGGGATGGGTTGGAAATTTCTCAATGGAATATATTAACAGCACTTCTCAAATTACATAAATTATCCACAATATATTCACATCATAGGTCCCATTGTGCGTGACGGGGAGGGGGTTTACAAAAGTCATGTGAACATCTGAGTTTTTCTTTTTTTTTGGGTGGTTGAATTTTGTTTATATATATTTATAAATTGAATTCTAATGTGTAGTTTTTGTAGCCAAAATAAGTGCGAACCTTTAAAAGTTTTATTTTTTATTTTTTATTTTTTATCTTAATGGTTGATCTTTAAATTTTCTAAAACACGTGATAGTAAAACAAAAATATGAATTTATTTAATTTAATTAAATATATACATTTTTGACATAATAAAATGATAAAAAGTGAATCATGTGGCTGATCTCACTTGATAGGTTGGGTTTGATTTGGTTTACATGTTGGTCAATTGTGTTGCTTAGGTTCTATTTAATGAAATTAAAAATTTATATTTGACTGAGTTCCCAAATTTTATATTTTCAAAAACTTTCAAAAACTAATTTGATGTAAAAATGATTTTTTTTTTTTATTATTTTCGTATGATTATGAAAAATTTACCTATAAATTCTATCTTGAGGAATGGTGATTCGATTAGAACAATTAGTGTCATTGATTTTAAAAAAGTAGATTTAATATATTATTTGAAAATTAAATTTACGTTATACCGTGCTTTTTTTTTTTTTTTTGCGCGCTAAAAGGTAAGATATACAATCTATGAGAATCAAATTTGGAATAAATTTTTATAAGATTTTCAAACATTTGAAAATGAGTACAAAAATGACTTGAAATCTGAGATTATTCAAACATTTCAAAATAATATGGGATTCGTCAAATATTTCAAAAAAAGTACAAAAATTCCTTAGTAAGTTTTAAACAAATGTATAATTTCAATTTGTAATACTCTAATGTAATACTCAAACGTAACATTCTAATGTAATACTCTAAAAAAACTCATTAATATATTTTTTCTAAACGTAACACTTTTTATGTAACACTCTAAAAAAAAACTCTTTAGTGTAACACTTTAATGTAACACATAAAAAAAAAATTTAGTGTACTTTTTCAAACATAATACTCCACACTTCAAAAAAATGATGTGGGATTTTTCATATCATTCCAAAGGAAGTACAAAAATTCCGTAGTAAAGTTTTGGATAAATGTATAATTTCAAATTGTGAGTGTTACGTTTGGAAAAAATACACTAAGTAATTTTTTAGTATTTTTATGTGTATTACATTGAAGTGTTACGTTTGAGATTTCATTGATTGGAGTGTTACGTTTGGAAAAAATACACTAAAGAGTTTTTATATGTTATTAAAGTGCGTTACATTTGGGAAAAATTTGAAATCTTACGTTGTTACGTTTGGAAAAAATATATAGGAATATTTTTGTGTGTTACATTGGATGAAAAAAGTTTGGAGTGTTATGTTTGGAAAAAGTACGTTGTGGAGTTTTTAGTATATTACATTAGAGCGTTACGTTTTTATTCGTAATGTGAGATTTATTCTAGAAGGAGAAAAAATTCAAAACTTTCATAGTGTAGATTGTCCAAATGTGTAATTTTACATTTGGAAAAACCTACTTTTATTGTTTAAAAATTAAACTCAAACGTGTAAATGACTACCATTTTGTGTAATTTTTACTTTAATGGGACCTTTAGATTCATATAAAAAAAAAAAAAGGGACTAAACCGTTCATAAGATCACATTTTGAAATTTGTTAGTACTTCACCCTATGATTATCCTTTTTTGGATAGACATAATTTTTGATATTTATTTTTATTAAATTAATTTTTATTTTTATTATTATTATTTTTTAAAATGAAAAAGTCTACTGTCCTAGACTTAGGGACGAAGAAAGCAGCTAAAAAATGAGGGGTATGACTAAGATTAAATTGATGTATTATAAGACTCATAGTTAGGATAAATGTGGACCACATATCATGTTTCTAGGTAAAATTTGGATAATAATTCTGAATTTGTAAAATTATCCTCTAAAGAATTCTAAAAACTCAACCTGGAGATAGCTACGAAGGTAGGCATTTTTACTAGAATTTAAAGTTGAGTGTTTAGAAGCTGTTTGATCTGAAGGGTGATGTAATTGGGGTCGCAAAATAGGACTTTTTGTCGAATGCATGATTAATAAGAGTTTGTTATAAAACTTTATTACAGTGTGAATGTCTTAAAAGCATCATTTTGGTGCAACAGGCCTAATGATAATAATAATTGCATAGGTCACAAAAGAAAAATCTAAAGTAGCAATTTAAATGGGCACTTCTTAAAGCTGTAAAGTTTGATCATTTCAAATCAGAATTGATTAATGAAAGCTTTTAAATTAAGGGCCATAAATGTGATCTACTAAAGTTTGAAAAATATTAAAGATTCTAAATAAATTATTAAATATTTTATTAAATTTTTCATATGAGTGTGGACCTATACACATGTGATTTGTGTGAATTTCACGCTTATGAAAAAGATTTAATAAAATATTTATTAATTTATTTGAGATCCCTAATATAACTCTTAAAATTCACACCACAACTACTTAACTTTTATAAAGTTGAATTAAGCCTTTAAGATTTTTATAAATTTAAAAATAAAACCTTTTAACAAAAGTACCCCATATGCAAACATAGTTGCTAGGATTACAAATAAATTTATATATATAAATAAATAAATCATAGTTGGGGTTCCCATTTTGTAATCGTGGGAGGGAGTAGTGTTTTGGAAAAAT